GCACATTATCAGACTAAAATTGAAGGGGCTAAAAAACTGTGTACTCAAAAAAATTCTTACACTTCCGAGAAAAAAGTTTGAAACTTAGGTGAAAATATGTTGCGTTTTTTTGTAGTTTTCTACAAATTGTTACACTTGGGTTTACATGGGGTTTGTCTGAGAACGAACTGTATTTTAATTGAAAATTCCTAAAAATAAATAAATACACATAAGTGGAACACAATATCGCTTTGAAATGGCGTGCTATAGATATGACCGATACAGTATATATAAAAACTATTTAATCTTTAGGAATATAATGTCAACAGAGTAGGACGTGTTTTTGCGTGCTCCTAAATAATTGCATTTATCTTCGGAAATACTGAAATTTGCCAAAAGTCGCTGCTTTACCGGTGAACGTGTGTGCTGTGTGTTGTTTTTTTGCCGATACCTGTGCAATAAATTACATGTCCTGTATTACCGCCCGCTGTAGCTGAAAGTTAAATAAGCAGAATAGCAAAATATCAAAAATGTCGGTAACGCGGAAAAATTCAACAAGAAAACCTGCATCCCCCTCTAAAACTCCTCTCACTCCCGCATCAGCTGTATACGACAGAATGGAGAAGAAATTTGAAGAACAGAGAGACGAAATCGTAAAACAGTTGACTGCAGTAATGATGGCATCAGAAGAGAGGGTAATGCAGAAGATTGGTGAGCTGGCTGCTGAAGCGGCAAACTTGAAACTAACGATAGCAGCAATCGAGAAAAGAGTGAAGAGTAGAGAACGCGTGCGCTGATGCTCTCACTCTTCGTAGTGAGTTGATTGCAACTCAGGCTCAGCTAAGTCATATATGTAATACTCCTATATTGGCAGTAAGAGCTAGTACCGTCCGAAAACACTACAGTACAGATATATCAATAAACACGTACGAAAGAAAAGGAACACACACGTTTATAAATAAACATGTACACAACCCATATACAAAAACGGCACTCAAGTATACAATTCATTGACAAAAACTGTACTAGACTGTCTCGCTTTGATTTCGGAATGCTTACACATTGAGAAGTTAGCTTGCTGCCAATATAGAAGTATTACATATATGAGCTAAGTACTCTTGAAGGCAGCGCTGTTTCAACAGATCTGATAATCAACGGAATACCTCAAACAGCTGGTGAGTGTTTGCCTGAACTCTTTTCGAAGATTTGCAGTGCGGCTCAGCATAAACCTCTACCTTTGCGTGATGCTTTTCGGCTGCGGAATGCAAAAACTAATGGACAAAAAAATACTAGTGTTTGTCCAATTGTTGTTAAGCTGTTCTCTGCACCTGATCGTAATCAGCTCTTAAAATCTGTTGCTGTGTTCTGCAAGAGTAGAAAGAGATCTCTTGCGCTCTCTGACATTGACTTGCCGGGTTACGGTTCAGTCTTTGTGCATGAAGGTCTACCAAAAAGCTGCGTGAAGTGATGACATTTGCCTCTGAGCTCAGGCGGAAGAAACAGTTAGCGTCGGCGTTCTCCTTACGCGGGAAAGTTTTTGTGAGGCTTAAGGCAGGTGAAGAGGCTAAATTGGTGAGCAGCAAAACTGAGGTGAATGCTCTTATCGGCAATAGAGCGCAGAAATAGAAACATGAAATTTATATATGTTTGTCAGGAAATTTGTTCTTTATGCTATATTTAAGTTATTGGAGTCATTTAGTTACATATTTTTTTCTTTCTCTTTGCGGCCAATTCTCTTAAGTAGTTATTTGTTTACCTTTTTGTTTCTATGTTTCAGGCTGGTTTTCTTGACTTATTGTTATTTTCATTTGTTCTCATTACTCCTTTTTTCTTGTTTATTTTAACTTATTGCAATCACATCCTTTACATGCATCTGTGTTTCTGTTATGTTTTTCATGTGTTTAATGCCATTTTTAGTTGTTCCTTCAACAGCTCAGTGTGATGGATTTAAAGCCCTCTAGGAAATCCACCTTCAGCATTGATGAAAACCAAAAGGTATTAATAGATATTTTGTGCAAGCAATATAATGGTCTTAAAGAAGTGCATTTTAATGCGCGGAGCCTCAACAGCGAAAAACAGGATTATGTTAGGGATATATTTGGTGAATCGGATATAGATGTCATTTGCGTCTCAGAAACTTGGTTTAATACTGATGTTTCTGATTTTTACTATACTATACTAAACTACAGTCTTACTCGTGTTGATCGAACAACAAAAAAAAGGGGGAGGGGTTGCAATCTATTGTAAATCCACCCTGAAAATCAGTGTTTTAGCAGTATTAAAAAACAATGATACAGAATTCATTATTGCCGAAATTTCAGACAATGTAACAAAAATACTAGTGTCCTGTGTATACAACCCTCATAGATGTTGCATGTTAGATTTGTTTTTTGTTGAGGTGTCTTTGTTTATTATTGTGTATGAGCGTTTTGTTATATGTGGTGACTTCAATGTCAATTTGCTTATGAATGACTCATATGTAGGGCTGCCAGATATCTCTGTTGCCAAACCGGGACACTTAAGGCGGGGAGAGGCCTCTCGCTACCTTCCCTTTCGTTTCGACAAAAATTACGTACGAAAGGATGTAGTAAAATTTTATTTTGACAAACAAAAACAAAAACATAAAAACATGAGATCATGAGATCATTACAACGTACACCAGCAAAACAAAACAATTTATCATAACTAAAGCACAGAGAATTTTTCACAATGCATGTACATACCTTTTTTGTTCCTTATAAAAATACAGTTTATACTAGGTACATCAGAAAACTTAAAAATAAAATTTCTAAACTTTGTGCAAAACTCGGGAAAATGAAAAAAATTTGCATACAAATTCGCAACTTTCTATTCAGACTTTTTTATACAAATTTTGAAAATGAAGTTTTGCAGTCCATAAAAATTAATTGATTTTTGGTCTTGATTTACTGGAGTTTCTTCCATACAAACTATGTTCGACATTTTTTTGTATGTGCTGTCAGCAAAAAATAAATAATTGCAAAAAATCAACGAAATTTTCTGGTAACTTCAGACTTGCACTTTACTAATTGGCTCAAAAACTACATTTTCAAAATTTTTCTGAAAGATCTGATTAGAAATTGTGATCAGATGAAAGAGTCTAAGAGCCAATAATTTTGTACGGCACGGTACTTATAAGTAATCTAGGTTTCACGAAAGAAAAAAAATTAAATGCAAGGTAACATTAAAATATCAGTCAGTTGTTTCGTTGCTGTGAGCTTGTTTCAAAACTTCTGGCTTTTGCTTAATATAATTGTAAAACTATGTGCATGTCATTTTAACGTATTTAGGTACATACTTATATTAATCATCAACTATTGCTTGTGCAAAACGTGCTAAATTAAAAAAAAAACGCATACGAAAGAGCAACAACCCAACGCGTAATAAATTTAAGTATAAAAATTTTAGTATTTAGTATAGAATTATTCAATTGAAATACGCCAATATTAAAATTAAGCGCTTTGCACTTAACGGATGCTTTTTCATAATTAAGTTAAAAAAAAATATTTAAATTCCATGCTGCCTGTAATGGGATGTGAACCCTGACGCTCTGGAAATTAGCAAATTGTGGCAAGCATCTTCGTGCACTCAGCTACAGCCAGACATGTAAATGTGCATTCAAATGTCCCGTTTGATTCAACACCACATGTGCGTGGTATGAAAGTATTGTTTTTAAATACGAACATTTTAAAACGATAATCAAATAAAAAATATTCATATTTACTATGCGTTATTTCCCCCAGTAAATTCATAAAATTTTTCTTAATATTACAACGCGTATTATTTTTCAGTGTAGTCATTTTTATGCAAAATTTGTGCAATCAAATCGAAAACCGGACACTTAAACGAAACCCGGGACATTTTAAGGTTGGACCGGGACACCGGGACATATCCGGGGAAACCGAGACGTCTGGCAGCCCTACTCATATGCCAATAAACTACTGGATCATGTATCTACTGCAGGTCTTGCTATGGTTAACAAATTTATACCAACAAGATTTGCGCACAATTCAAGTCCTAGTTTGTTAGACCTCATTATCACGTCAAGCCTCGACCATATTCTTAAATTTGACTAAATACGTTTTATCTCCGACCACGACCTAATATTTTGTGCACTAGATGTAACGTTTAATTGTCCTGCTGATAGTGTTACTTCTATGTATGTATCGTGATTTTAAGTCTGTAAATGTTAATAATCTGAATGATGATCTGTTAAATGTTGACTGGGATGCATGTTGGTTTGTTGAGTCGGTAGATGCCAAACTTGACTTTTTAAATAAAACTATGTCTGAATTATTTGATGTCCATGTTCCCGTCGTACTGTTCACGTTTTGAATAGCTCTTGTCCGTGGTATAATAGTAATGTCAGATCAGCTATAAAAGCTCGTAATAGATTATATGCGAAATGGAAAAGAACCAACACGGACTTCGCTTGGTCGCAATACAAACTTGCCCGAAATAAAGCTACCACCATTGCAAGACAAGCGAAACGGTTGTATTGTAACTCCAAGTTGAACCCATCACTACCATCAAAAGACTTATGGCGTAATTTGAGAAACCTTAATGTGCATAGAAAACATAAAACTGAGTGTAAAATTGACCCTAACATTCTAAATGAATATTTTATTGGAGCCTGCAAAAGCCGCGACAGTTCTCTAGCTCAAAACTTCAATAGCCATTTTGCACTGAGAGAAAAGTTTCAATTTAATGGAGTTAAGGCGATGTCAGATAAAACTTTGTAGCTTCGCTTGACATTTCGAACTTTGTCAGCAAAGCGAAGAGCGCGAAAGATATGTCACAATAGACGCTTTGACAACACTTGCGTATTGTTTGTTTAATTGTTGAAATTGTGGTATCAATTTAGTTTTGTGAAATAAAATACATAAAAAATGTTTTTTGATGAAATTTTGGATCTTTTATTAATAGTGCTGTTGATGCATGAAGCCTTAGAGTGCCTAAAAAGAAGTTCAAGACGACGGTTTTGGGTGAGGAGGCTTTACCAAGACCGTGACACTACGGGCCTCTTTGCTTCCAGCTTCGAAGAAATGTATGAAAACGATCCGGAGCAATTTAAAAACAGTGTCCGCTTGACTCCCAATGTTTTCGATTTATTGCATGAACTTTTAAAGGAACGGCTTACTAAAATATCAAACAGGCCACCGATTTCATCAAAATGCCGTCTTTTCTTAACGCTTACGTGAGTTATGATGGTTTACACCAATTTCATAAAATATCTACATACCTAGAGCACATCCAAATTTTAATAAATCGTTTACATATACAGTTATCTAGCACATGGAGACAGCAAGCAAACCCTTGCTACAGCTTTTAAAATGGGGCGCTCCACTGTAGTAACCATTATCAGCGAGGTCTGTGAAGCAATTTGGCAGGAGCTGGGTGGTATTTACCTGTCGGTTCCACAGAAACATGAGTGGAAACGCATTGCTTCGGATTTTAACACCATGTGGACCTTTCCGAATTGCATCGGGGCGGTTGATGGAAAGCACATAACGATATCATGCCCCCCCAATTCCGGATCATTATTTTATAATTANGGTAATAAAATTCAATGATTTGCAAGCGTTGCTCGTTAGTAAGTCTATTCATGATGAAATGTCAAAGCATACTGAGCATCTTTCTCTTTGACACCATGTCTGAAATCCCACGTGATCTGTCAAATACTAATGCATGAAAATCCTAACCTCAAAAAAATCACCCGATATATAAACTTACGTTTCTAAATTTCGCAATTCGGTGGCAGAATGTATTTAATGTATAGACCTTTTAATAGTTTGACTTCTTTTACCAGCACTCCACCAATTTAACATCGGTGCGGATGGCATCCGTCGGATACCGGAATAGGCATGAATATTTTCAAATAATGTAAAATAAGTATAATACAAATACTTAATTTATGATTTTTCTCATTTTGTCTTCTGTTCATTCGTTTTATTTAATGCTTTAATATGCAAATACAATGTATACATATATAATTCATAAACTTATGTACATATGTAGGTATATCTGCAGCCCGCGGCAAACGAGTTTTAACTATTTAGCGTATGTTTGTTTAATGTTCATTATTTTTCTAAAGGACATTGTCTAAAAAAAACACACGAATCGAAATTTCCAACTTTATACAAAAATGAAAAAAGCCACAATTTTTTCATTACAAAGGGCCGTATGAATAAAAAATAAGCAATTGCTTTTCAGAACTTTTACTCGAATTATTCAAACAAAATTGAAGTAAAAGGTATGAAATTTTAAGAAAAAGCAATTGCCTAGTTTTTATTCATTCGGCCCAATCCCAAGGTTTTTAATTATAATTTGTATAAAAATGTCTGGTACGCAGTCTTATAGCTTATTAAATTTTATTAACATGGTATAACACATTTTCTTCTAACATAAAACTGCCAGCTAAAAAAATTATAAAAAATCAACGGGATTTTCAGCGACTTCCAACTTGCACGTTATTTATTAAAATTTAATAACCTATAAAACTGCGTACCAGAAAATTTTCTACTTATTATGATTAAAAACTTTGGGATTGGATAAAAAAGTGTAGCTTTTTTTAATTTTTGTATAAATTTTGAAATTTGGATTTTGTTTATCGTTTTGTAGGGGACTGTATCTAGTTATTATTTTCTAGTGTTCGAAAACAAAAGAATTTATTTAAAATAAACTTAAATTTTAAAAACAAATAGTGGTATTTCAATTGTATTATTAATGTATTGACGAGCTTTCTCATAGGAACCATGTAGGTTTCGCAAATTGCAGCGATTTCAAATCGTACGTATTTTTTTTAAATAGTTAAAAAACTAAGCAATTCAACATTCAGTGGTCGAACAAATTATAGCCGTACCACATTTTCACTATAATTTTGTCGACCACTGCACACTCTTACAATGAGTAAAAAAAGTTCGCGAAACTTAAAATATTATTAAATATGGGTGTTTCCATGGGAAGGTCCACCACGACAAAAAAAAAAAAAAGTCTTATATCTAACGTATTTATGGGCCGATTTGTCTGCTTTTTAAAATATATACTGGCTATGTAAGTAGAATCATGTTTGCGTAAAATGGTCTTGCTAGGTGGCGACAAGGTCCAGATATTTCGAAAAACCGTATTTATGGTCCGAAAAAGTGGTTCCTCTCACGTATATCTTACGAACCAACTAAATACGATAATACTACAAATGAAAGGCAATGAAATTTTCCATAACCCGTATATACATCACTTTTCGATAGGACTGATAGTTTCTGAGAAATTAATTAACAAAAAAAAAACAGTCGTAATTTTTTTATTTTTCTCCTGTTAAAGTTTGAACTTTTTCATCAAAAAAACAAAAAAATTTAGTTATTATTTAATTTCTCAAAAACTATCAATCCTGTCGAAAAGTAATATATGTGTACATATACACACACCTAGATATAAAGTGGCCTAACTAATAAATCAGATCCGGAATATAACTGCTTTTTTATCGCACAG